CGCCGCCCGCTGCGCCGGGCTCGCCACGCCGCGCCCGCACGCCCTCCATGGGCCCCCCCAGCGATGCCCGCCGCGCCCCGCCAAAGTTTGTCGGCTCCCGCTGAAGGGCCGCGGTGCCCCGCGCCCCGCTCCGGCCAGGTGAGTCGAGCTGTGAGCCCGCCGGCGCCCCAAAAGGTCGGGGGCCACTTGGGTGGAGGCCGGGAGACAACTCGTCCGAGGCGTTTCTGGAGATCTGCAGTTCCTGGGGGAAGGCGCGGACAGGGGGGCCTGGCCGAGTGGGGGACAGGGAACCCCAAGCCGAGAAGTTACCCGGCTCGCAGAGTTTCCTGCCTCGACGTGCAGGCTGTCTTGGTGCCTCGGTTTCTGAGATGACGCCCAAGGGACAGAGTTGGTATTGTCCGTGGTAAACAGGATCCCCGGCTTTGCGCCCGGAGTAGGAGAGTTGCCAATCGAGGGACGACCCCAAGATGAGAAATAGTCTTTTAACAAAGATCCCACCCCCCACCAAAAGTGTGCAGGCTTGGCACCGGCTAGAACGTCTCCGAAGCCCCCCGAGGCCCGACCCCCATCATCCCGGGTCTCTTGGAAGCCCTCTTTGGGCCCTGGAGAAGTTGGGGGACGGTAGGTTTGTATTGATTTGTTTATAAGGGTCGCCGCGGCGCGACCAATAAAAGGTTTATGACATCTGACCGGCAGTGAAGGTATGCGAGCTCCCTACTGCCTTGTAGACCTGGAGAAGAGCAGTTTCCTAGTTGCCTGGCAACGCAGCTGATGGACGCAGCCCGCGGCCAATCGCTGCTTCTGCAGGTCCCCTTGAAATGTTTTTGACAAGTACAGTAGATGCGCGTGGGGCGCGTGCGCGCGGAGGGGGGGGGGGAGTGTCCCAGGGCTCCACAAACTGACTGCCCAGCCCCTCGCTCTGGGTTCCTCAACTTTTTAAAGTTTACATCAAAGATCTATTCTTAGCTGGACCCGTCCTGTCTTTGTCAGTTATTTGGAGACCTGCTAATGGCGGGTAAAAAAAATAGCTTTGCTGCGGCATGGCATTTTCTCTGTGAAAAAGCAAAGAATAATTAAAAAAAAAAAAAAAAAAGCTAGAAATCACACACAATGCAGAGAAAGTCAGGCAAGAACGAAGAGATAGTGATTGAGTGTGCGTAATGTACCCAATAACAAACTGTAAACTTGTTAGGTCCTCAGTGAGTAACGTTTACTTATCTGGTGGAGCAACTTTATTGGCAGTAGATTAAAAAATGTTTGCTGAACTGCAGGCTCACATGACCTGGGTCCCCCCTTCCCCCCCCCCCCTCTAAAACTGAAGGAAAAAAAGATTTGGCAAATTATGTGGTGTATAATAATGGAAAACTCTTCAGCTGTGGTTTCTGGGCACAGCCTTTTCACTGGAACTGTAACCATCAGCAGCTCCTTGTACTGCTGCTTTAAAAGTTGGAGTTTCTGGGGGTGCCATTAACAGTTGGCATAAGGTGGGGGGGGGTGCTGCAGCGCCAAGAGGGATCATGGAGAAGCCCTCTTTCCTTGACTGCCGGTTTTTTTGTTTTTTTCCTACTGGAACCCCTTTGCTGTCAGTATTTGTTGAAAACAAAAGAAAACATGGAGAATAGCGTGTTAGTTCCTTTGGGAAGCTACTGACAAATAAGCAAATTAAAAAGAAAGACAGCAGCAGGTTGTCATAGCAACAGTGCAATTAAATTACTTTACTGTCAGCCATGATATAATTTTCCTGTTTGGGAGCTTAGGAGACATAAAACTTTCATCTGGAGCTGAAGTTGGCTTCACTCGCTGTGTAGGGCACCGAGTACTCTTCTGGATGGATATTCCTGGACATGAAAAATGAGATTTTCTGATGGGACTGGAGGAAACTTTGTAAGAAAGACAGGCTGAATTTTGCTTTGTCCTTAAAGAAGTGTAACTGCCAACTGGATAGCACTTTGCCATATCCCTAAGCCTGAAGATACCAGGTTACGTATGTTTTACAGTGTGTCCTGTGGTAGTCAAGGAAACCTTCTAATTTGACAGAAAAAATATCTGCTGTGGGTGAAGGTGAGGTTTCTGGCCTGCCCTATACTCTTGACCTGTTCCCCCACGGGATGTTTTCTGTCCTTGGAATCCAGTGTATCTTAGCCTTTCCAGTGGACTTCTCAAATAGAATTTCTGTCAGCAGGACTTACTTGTCTACCTTTTGAAAAGTGAGGCAGGTGCAGTTCTTGGGCACCTTTGACGGCTGTTTAGTAGCCCAGGTTTCACTTTCTAGAATACTACTCTAGAGCATCTCTAGCTGAACTAGTAGTTCTTATAAACACGTTGTTAACAATGGACTTGAAATGTTCACGTCTTTGTTTCTGATAGGTTTATTTTTTTCTAGGTAGATTGCTTGACTATCTGTCAGAGCAAAAAAAAAAAAAAATTAAAAAACCCACAAAATACACCAATACATTTCTGCACTGGGAGAGCAGGAGAACTTTTTCATGACCTTTCCATTCTTTGAGTCCTATGTTGTGTGTCAGAGGGTTGCACAGCCTTTGAATCTACATAGGACTTGCCACCCCCTCATTTTTGGTTCTTATCAGATATTATTTTACTCTTTGTTCTAGGTCATTGATAAAAATGGGGATTGGAGGTAGGAGATTGAGAGTGCAGGAAGAATTCTGTAGCAGTTTTTGTTGAGATTGCTTTTTTGTGTTGAAGCTGCCAGTTGCTTTCCTGACTTAAGTTCCTTGCTTGTCTTCACAATTCTACTTGTGTGTGTGGTGCCTGAATTTCCTGTTGTTGTTTTTTTTTTCATTCTGGGGCTAATGTCCCAACAAACTCAAATGCATCTCTTCTTCAGTTCCGTTCTGCAGAATTCTTTATCATTGTTGTGTAGGTTTGCCAGATGTAATTAACGTAGAATTTTTGGTCATGACTTTGGTGGTGGTGGTGATGGTGATGGGGAGTCAAATAAAACACTAGCAAATCGATACTCACTGTGACCACAGTTTTAATTCCAAGGCAGTTGTGATCTTTTTCAAATGGAAACAGCTGAACTTAATCTGAAACAACTGGCTTGAAATTTACAGTCTTCCTCCCCCCCACCCCCCCAAGCAGGATCAACGTGTATAAACAAAGAGACATGCAACATTAATATGGCAGGAATTGTATGCTTACTTTGTAGGTTTATCATGAGGCTTGAAAGAATGTTCCTGTGTATGTAATTCATGCATTGTTGTTAAGTGCTGTTGAGTCAGTTCCGACTCATAGCAACCTTGTATGTTGTTGTTAAGTGCCATCTAGTTGATTCCGACCCATAGCAACCTTGTGGAGTCCTGGTGTGGCACCGTGGGCTAATGCGTCAACTGCAAAGTTGTTTGAACTGCCGGATCGGTGGTTCAGGCTCACCAGCTGCTCCTTGGAAACCCTGTGCAGGGCCGCTATGGGTCGGAATCAACTCGACAGCACTTAACAACAACAACAACAACAAACAGGGTTTCCAAGGAGCAGCTGGTTAGCTTGAACCGCCAACTTTGAAACTCAAGCCGACTTTGCAGTGTAGCGCATTAACCCAAAGCACCACACAAGGACTCCAGTGTCCCAGTGACTTGTCATGGATCTAGAGAGAAAGCATTGGGACATTTCTCATTCTTTTTATGGTTTGCACCATAAACAGTTGCAGTGGTAACTCATGGCGACCTCTTGTGTGTCAGAGTAGAATTGTGCTCCATGGGGTTTCAGAGCTGATTTTTAAATGTAGATCACCAGGCCTTTCTTCTGCAGCACCTCTGGGTGGCAGCCTAGCACATTAACTGTTTGGTGCTGTAGGATAAGCACGCAGTCTCCATGTCAAGATCGGCGGTTCAAACTCACCAGGGTCTCTATGTTCACTATGAGTTGGAACTGACTTGACAACTCTTAACAACAACTCTTTTTGGAGTCCTGGTATGGCACCTAACAATAAGCACTGGACTGCAAGGTCAGTTTGAACTGCAGGGTTGTTGTTAAATGCCATCGAGTCAGTTATGACCCATAGCGACCCTGTGTAGGGTGTTCAAAGAGCAGCAGTTCAAATGCGGTTCAAACTGACTTTGTTTGCAGTTCAGAGCATTAACCCACAGCACCATTCGCTGGTGGCTATGAATCAGAACCAACTCATTGGCACTTCACAACAACAACAACAACAGGACTCTATTTGCACATTAAAACTGCAGTAAACATTTTCAGTCTTCTTTCATTGAAGGGGCTCCAGGTCACTGCTATATCAGGAATAGTGTGGACCGCTTTTCCTTGGTTACACCTCCCTCTGTGTGGTGGGATTGTGGGTTTATGTTGCTCATTGTGGGCACCAGGAGGCAGTGTTCCTATGTCTTGGGGTATATAGAGGTGGCAGGGGGAAGTTAGGAGAATTAGGAGGGGACAAGCTGCTTTTTTCTCTTTTGGATTTTACTAACTCCTCTTTTCTTTCAAATGTGTTTACTAGGAGCCTTCACGTAAATGGGTCCAGTCATGCCTCCCAGTAAGAAGCCGGAAAGCTCAGGAATTAGCATCTCCAGTGGACTGAGTCCGCGTTACCGGGGCAGTGGTTTGTCAAAGGCTCTTCAGGAGGACGATGAGCTCGACTCTCCTCTGCCCGATCCCCGAGTAGAAGAGGGGGCCATGGAAGATGAAGAGCTGACCAACCTGAACTGGTTGCATGAGAACAAGAACCTGCTGAAGAGCTTCGGGGAGTCAGTCCTCAGGAGCGTCAGCCCTGTCCAGGACCTGGACGATGACACGCCCCCATCCCCCGCCCACTCGGACATGCCCTACGATGCCAGGCAGAACCCCAACTGCAAACCCCCTTACTCTTTTAGCTGCCTCATATTTATGGCCATTGAGGACTCCCCGACAAAGCGCCTGCCAGTAAAGGAAATCTACAACTGGATCTTGGAACATTTTCCGTATTTTGCAAATGCACCTACTGGGTGGAAAAACTCAGTGAGACATAATTTGTCATTGAATAAGTGTTTTAAGAAAGTGGACAAAGAAAGGAGCCAGGTAAGCTTGTGTGTCCGGAACCAAAACTTTTCTCAATTAAAAAAAAAAAAAAAAGCCAAAAAACTTGAAGTAATGTAAATTCACAATATTGAAGGAACAGTTTTAAACCGGCAATTTTTATTTTCTTGAGTCCATTTAGATAGTTTTTTTTTTTTTTTTTTTTAAAAGACCCATTCCTGAGACTATTCATTTGATTAGATACTATTTTTCTTATTTATATTGTATTGAGGATTTCCCATTGTAGTAGTAATACATAATCACAAAACGATGGTTGGGAGACTTTCATTGGTTCTCAGTATCATCCCTTAATGATTTGAAGACTTTCAACCGGCAATTTTTCCTTGGGCCTTTTTTTTTTTTTTTTTTAAAAAGACCCATTCCTGAGACTATTCATTTGATTAGATACTATTTTTCTTATTTATATTGTATTGAGGATTTCCCATTGTAGTAGTAATACATAATCACAAAACGATGGTTGGGAGACTTTCATTGGTTCTCAGTATCATCCCTTAATGATTTGAAGACTTTCATTGGTTCTCAGTAATATACCTCAGTGGTTTGGGACTGTTATTGGTGCTCAGAACCTTTGCTCAGTGGTTTAAGGGCTTTCATTGGTGCTCGTTCCCCAGTGGGGATGGGTCACTTTGGTTGTTAAAAGGCAGCCAGTAACCCTGAATATGGATTTGAGAAAAATTGCCACCTAAGGCTAGAGAGAAATGACATTTATTTTCTTGCTGAATACTAACTTGTTGTTGTTAAGTGCCGTGTTGGTATTTTTTAGGTAAGTCTCGAGTTTCCTGGAATAAATGGACTGTAGTGGATATTGGAAATTTTGAGGACACTTATGTACAAGCAAAGGCATGACGTACTCAGGTGACTGTCTTTAAACCAGGTGTGCACCTAAGTGTGTGGCTCCTTTGAAGTCCTAGGTGTGAGAAAGTGACATGAGAAAGGATTGTGTTGAACATTTAACTTGAAAAAAAAAATGTTGGGAGGCAGTTGCAATTGTCTACCTAGCCTTAGCTGAAGCTTCCTTGTTGGCTAAAGAAATCAAACCCCTTGTGTTGTATTTCTTTAATGAATATAATAGGAGGTACAGTGTGGCACTGTAGGTCGGCACTGGATTACAAAGAACTGGTAGTTCAAACCCTACCCAGGGTTGTTATCAGTCAGAATCGATTCACCACCAACAACAATATTAGAATTGGGGAACAAAAGTGTCATGTGACTTTTAAGTTCTGTAAAGGAATGTGTTGTTGTTAAGTCCTATACAGGGTTTTCGAGGAGCAGCAGGTAGGTTTGAACTGCCAACCTTTTGGTTCGCAGTCCAGTGCTGATCCTTCATTGCCAAGGAATGTATCCGCAGCTAAAAGGACATTTCCAGAAAACTGTACTCTGCCCATGTTTTCACACTCTGGCATTTTCCAGTGTTGTTTTTTTTTTGTTGTTTTTTTTTGGTGTTGATAATACCACTGTATGCAACAGCTGTTCCGCTTCTGACCCTTTGTGAAGTTCAGGTTCAGTGTTAGCACCACTATTGTGGACTCAGTGACTTTGCATGGCTGAGGCCTTTCATATCTTTCCCTCCAGAAGCATGTCTGTTTATCATAGATGCTTGAACCTGAGAAAAGTCTCCTTACTTTTGCCATATAAGACTGCAAATAAAGAAGCGGCTAAGTCACAGTTCTCCTTGTTTGACCTGGATTTGTTTGCCATTGCTAGGTATCCAAAGTATATGTTACAGGGGAGCAGGAGTGTTTTGGGGAGTGGGGATGTAGGACTTGGGAGAGATGAGACAGGTGGATGCTAAGGCACTTTGATCACCGGTTTGGACAATACCTAGAGCAAACATGCAAATATGAATATTCCTAGGTGTTCTTGGCCCCTAACTACCTAGGTCCTTTTTGTAATGTTGTAATCATAATAGCTGAAGTGTGAGCAGCTTTTAATTAGGGAGAGGAAGTTCCTTCCACAAGAGTGAAGCCTTTGGCAATCCAAGCCATCCACTGACCTTGTCCTTCCTCCTTGTTACTCAAGGCATTTAAGGACCTGCCTCCTGACATGGTTCTGTTGAGTGTACTAGGCCATTGTTTGAACTAAGAGAAGATCCCGTGCTGCCCTGTACAGAAAGAGCCAAGTCTGGTGTGCTAAGAGTGTATATATAGATGGTTTCTCATGGCAACAAAGGAAAGTCTTGGAGATCAAGTCCAAGCTTGAAATGTAGAGAAGAAAGTGCTACTGAGGTCACCAAAGCCTCATGTCACTGACAAAACAGGGCTTTAAGTTTGAAGTCTTTCTGCAAGCTACCTCATGTCTATGTTGACCATCTCTGTGTGACACAAAGCTGGGGCACATAAAAGTCATTTAGCAAATGCATGCTCTGTAATAGTTTGTTGTTGTTAAGTGTCATTGAGTCAGTTCCCACCCATAGCGACCCTGTATAGGATTTCTGAGGAACAGCTGGTGAGCTTGAACCATTAACCTTGCAGTTTAAACGGCTTTGCAGTCTGGTGCATTAACCCACAGTGCCAGACCAGGGCTTCGTGATGGTAAACTAGATCAATTCCAAATTGTGCAAAAGACTAGGGAAGATAATCCACCAGCCTGAGGAGGCACACACGTGTGTTGGGGAGTGTGTGCCCACCACAAAGAAGGAAGGAGAAGTTCCAGCTACCACCTAACCTCCACCTCCACACACTATACCGGATCCTGGAAGTCAGGCTTTCTAGAGCTGACCTGTGTCAATGGGAGGAAATGTATATGTCACCTGATGAAGGGGAATGGTGTATAAGGCCTTGAGAGTGTTAATCTTCTGCACTGTAGTCTTGTGATTGCCTGGCCACACTGATCGATATGAAGATATTTCTCATCGAATGCCCATCAGCTTTGTGGTTGGAGCTTGTGCCCAGCACCTTCTGTGATGCTCTGAGAACTTAGCGAGTGATGTGACTTTTTCTCTTCTCTCTCTTTTTCTTGGGAACGGTGGCTCCATAGGATTAGCACGGGACTATGAACCACCAGGTTGGAGGTTCGAGCCCACCAGTGGCTCCATTTGAGAAAGATGAGGCTTTTCTGCTCCCAAAAAAGATTTTAAAAGCCTCAGAAACCCTATGTAGGGTCATTATGAGTAGGAACTGACTTGATGGCACTTAACAACAACATTCTTTCCTTGGGTCACTCTAAGGCCAGCCATTAGCTGTTCCATGAGACAGAGGCCACCTGGTCACTCCCAGGGTGCTGACAATGGCTTGGGTGCTCCCAGAGCACTGGTGTGGGCACTGGCCTAGGGGCTTCGCTGGTCTAGGGGATCCAAGGGTTATGGCATGGGTGCTGGCATGGGCGCTGGCCCAGGAGCTCCCAGGGTTGCGGCATGGGTGCTGGTATTGTCGCTGATCCAGGAGCTCCCAGGGTTGTGGCATGGGTGCTGGGGTGGGCGCTGGCCACGTTCACGGGGCTTTCTGGCCTGGTGAGCTCAGTGAGGCTCAGGCATTTGCTCTGATTCTCTGCCCAGTGAAAGTGTCTTTGGCTCTACAGGGAGTCTTTTTTCCCAGGGGATTTTATCTGGTGTGGTCCCTGCACAGAGGTTCACGTGGTGACTAAATGCAACCCCATGTGGGTTAGAGGGTTGAGAAATATGTTAGAGGAATGGAGAGTGGCTGTGAGAACAGAGCCTTGTGCGTTGTATGCAGTGAGTTAGCCGTTCCTTTTTTTTTTTCTTTTAATGTTTTCAAAGTGAAGACTGATCCATTGATACAGTGGTCTAGCCATACAGTGGTATAGTGGCGGTAAAGGTTATGTGCCATGAAGTTTTTCTGACTTATAGTGACCCTGGGTTTCTGAGGTTGTAAATCTTTACGGGAGCAGTAAACCTCATCTTTCTCCCGAGGAACAGCTGGTAGTTTCGAACTGCTGACTGTGAGATTAGCAGCCCGACTTGTAACCACTACGCTACCAGCGAAAGGGGCAGGAAGTCCTAATCCCTGTGATAACATGGGTGAGTCCTGAAAACGTCCTACCCCTTGAAATAATAGGCCCAACACCGATCCGTAACACCTACAAAGGTCAGTGAATAGAGTCCTGGTGTGGCACTGTAGGATAAGCACTCGACTACAGATCAGTTTAAACTGCAAGGTCAGCAGTTCAAGCTCACCAGGCGCTCCTTGGAAATCCTATAGAGCCACTGTGAGTTGGAACCGACTCGATGGCACTTTAGCAACAACAACAACAACAAAAACCAAAATCAATTTGCAGTTTTCAGGGTCTGGGGGACAGAAAAGTATTGCTAAAGGGTGTGTCTGGGCACATGAAAAACTTTTGGAATAGGTGGTGGTGGTGGTATTAAGTGCCATCAAGTCTGTTCCAACTCATAGTGACCCTGTATAGGGTTTCCGAGGAGCAGCTGGTGAGTTTGAACTGCCAATCTTGTAGTTCAAACCAGCCTTGCAGCCCAGTGCTTATCCTACATAGTTTTAATGTCACTGAACTGCACACATGAAAATGGTTAAAATTGCATTTTCTTGGTGGGGGTTTAATGGTGGTGGTGATTATGTGCCGTGGAGTCGGTTCCGACTCATAGCAACCCTGTATAGGGTTTCCAAGGCTGTAAATCTTTACGGGAGCAGAAAGCCTCACCGGTCTCCTGTGGAACAGCTGGGAGTTTCGAACTGCTGACCTTGAGGTTAGCAGCTTGCTTTGTAACCACTCCGCTACCAGCGCTATTTGACCAAAAACAACAACAACAACAAAATGGAGGCACCAATTCAGCTTGAGTTAACTGTGAGGACGAAGGGTAGACCCTTTGCCCTGCAGTTGGAACCCAGACTCAGCTGAATGAACAACTGTTTGGCTGGATGTTTGGAGAAGGAATGTCTGGATTGCATCAGAATCACCTGTGCAGTTAAAAACAATGCCCATCTCTCAGGCCCCACCCTGGAGACTCTGATTCAGCAGGTTTCAGGTGAGCTGAGGAAAGCAGTCTGTTCTAAGCTCCGTTGGTGTCT